GAGTCATTCGATCACTTTCTGACATATGATGTTACTTAGAAGCATAACCAAACTTAGCAAAGTACAGCAATTATTAATTATTAATAATAATAAAATGATGAGCAGACCCTACCTCGAAGAAGCTTCAGACTGAAATCTGGTCCGACATGAGACGAATATAAGGGTGGGTCCTTTTCGGAGTCACGTTCGGCAAAGCCAATCAGCTACCAGTTCAGGTTATGACAGCCAATAACATCAATAGAAGATGATTGACAGTTTTTCACTGCCAATCCGGTAAAAGGATTAGCCGACGGATCCCAGGCTAGGTCGGTCCAGGACTGTCTGGGTCAAATCCCGGCCGGTTCCGGCCCGGCTCGGTCGAGACCCAGCCTGGCTCCTGTCCCAGACTGGGTACCAGAACCAGGCTCTTACAAAAACAATCAACTTATTTAAATAATTTCCCTCTGGGATTATGAAAGTATTTCTGATTCTGATTCTGATTCTGATAAATAAACAATCGAAGCGCGATTCGCCCCCTGGCACCAGAACCAGGCTCTTAAATAATTTCGGCCATAATCGCGGATCGTTTCGCGTGCACGCGCGCGCTCCCGCGCGCACGTGCCACGGGACAAGTGGGGGGGTGCACTCAGGTGTGTGGGACACATGCTTTGGAGAGGGAATGCGGCAAATGCAATGACACAGCTCTGACTCACTCCCTTAGAGTGTTACTAGGTCGGCCGAACGAGGCACGTGCGCGCGCTTACGCGCGCGCACGTGCCTCGTGTATAATCACAGACTATCAAAGGGGTCAATACATAAAAAAAAACTGGGCGTCCATCAGAAGCTTCACTGTTGTTACTGAGCTCCAAACTCATCTCCATAGCAACGGCACTCTGGCAGCTGTCAATCATTAAACTGAAGGTCTGACTCTTGAGTGTCTGCTCTGTGTCATCTGACAACTTCACCAAAAGATTACCCCCAAACTATTGCCCGCCATTCAAAAACTAAAAGATTTGGCTCTTTTATTTTTTAAATGTGAACCTTCTAAATACCAGAACCAATGTATAACTTAAAAACTTTTGTTCAGAGAGAGCGGGCCCGGTCCGGTCCCGGCACCAGAACCAGAACCAGGCTTTAACTAACTTTGAGCGGGCTTCGCCCGCTTGGAACGAAAACCACTGAATCATCAGCTCCACACCTCTGCAGAGAGCCACAGCGCTGCTGTGGCTCTCTGCATATATTGTATATATTGTATATTGTATTTCTTTAAAAATCATTGAGAGCGGGCTTCGCCCGCCTTGAACCAGGAGTATGACAGGGCCCCGGTCCGGTTCCGACCCGGTTGGGTCCTATCCCTAGAACCGGAACCAGAACCGGGCTCTGACTAAAGCCCTCTAAGCGGGCTTCGCCCGCCATGGTAACAAAAAATACTGTATTTCTTAAAAAATCACTTAGAGCGGGCTTCGCCCGCTTTTTGCCAGTATCACTGTCTTAGTTAAA